TTCTCATTTTTTAAACAATGTTTGACATTAAAATTATATTTTAGACATGTATTTTTGCTATTTAAATAGCAATTTCTAAAATTATGTTTTTGAATTATTTATAACTGGTTAATATAAATTTAACTTATTCTGTATTCTGATCTTACATCTTATGTTTCTAACTCTTACTGTTATTTTAATTTCCTGTAGTAATCATTCTATATTTTTTCTTTCTTAAAGTTTTTCTTTTTAGTTTAAATTCTTAGAATTACAACTGCTGTACGAAAGAATATGCTCATTTAAAATTTTAATTTTTATACACAAGAATAATTATTTGTTGAATATTGAGTCATAAAATCTCATTCAAATTTCCATGGGTATGCCAATTTATATTTATTAGAGCCATTTCTAATTCACCTTCAGCAATACTGAATATGTTATCCATTTTAAGTCTTTTCCAATTTAGTACAAAAGAATAAATCTAAGAGACTTCATCCTTGAAAAACTATCTTTGGTTCATACGTAGGTCATTGATTATTTGTACATGCAAACATGAAACAATAAATTCCAAAATGTATTGCTCACTCGTATTTCTTTCTAAGCTATTTATTTGTTCAGGTGCTTTGCCCATTCGTTTCTAGATAGATTTACTTATTTTCTATAAAATTGTAAAAACTTACTGTTTATTATGAATGTTAATATTAATACTATTCCAGACTTGTGTACTTTATTTTTTTCTCAGCTGATTATTTTCCATCTTTTTAAAAATTATGCTTTCTACCATATAGTATTTTTTTACTGCATGGTGAGATTTATCAATATTTTTTCCATGTTTAAAATATTTTAACCAACTATATATAAAGAAATAATTAGGTATACTGTATATTCTTCTAGTAATTTTAGAGTATTGATTTATTGTTGCTACTATAAATGGGGTTTGCATTGAAAGAAAACAAATTAAAAATCACTTGTGTGGTGGTGTCTCTGGGACACAGAGTAAAATTCACCAAGTCTGATTAATTCCCACCAGGTCTCAGAATTCTTTCCTCCTATACTATGAGATTATGAGACCCTGCCAACAGAGAAACATTCTCTCAGAAAATCACTCCTTTGCAAGTGCATATTGTTAATAGTAAAATGGTACCCAGGCCATTGAGATCTAATGTCCAACGTAAGGAAACAATCTTCATGATGTTACGTCATACTGCTACCTTGTTACCTAAACCCACATCAGATCAATTAATGGTTTGGGCACTGCCCTTTGTGGTGTCAGAGGCATGGACAGAATAGCTTCTAATCCTCATCACCTTTGGGATGGATGGCTAGACTTCTGGATCAGAACTACTGATGTAAGCTGAGTAATCAATATCTTGACTACTCTCTCATTAAATACATTTTCTGGGACAACATGAGCCATAGCCAGGTAATTCAGTGGCAGATTTCTGCAGGGTGATAAGGCTAGTATACTATAATGTAAATGTCTCAGGGAGAGAATTCCAATGATGATGGCTTAAGTCATATACAAAGTAAGTTAATACTAATAGTAAGAAATTGATTTTTATTACCCATTGAACCCAACCTGTTTTAGGAACTGTTGAGGGATACAGAAATGTGAGACCCAAGCTGTAGAATCAAGGACAGTTTATTATAATTGTGTTTGAAAGATAAGATTCATAAAGAGGTTATATTTGAACAGCACTCTTTTAGAAGTGCACAAGTCATGGAAAAAAGCATGAACGTTTGAGAGGGAGGAACAAATTCAAAGTATAGAAAATGGGCCATTTCACACTAAGAACATTTCTAAAGAGAGAGAGCAAAGCCTAGACTGGAGATGTAGCAAAGAGCCACGTCACACCTGCCTCAAAACGCCAGCCAGTAGAGACTGGAGTTCATCGTGGATCCAGCGGGGATCCCAAAAAGAGATTTCCTTAATGGTCTGGGGCAAGTTTTCCCAGGGGTGAGAGATGGTGGGGAGCTATTGTGGAACCTAGTGAGGAACAGAACAAAGGAGGAACAAGGCAGATGAGGGGCAGAGCAATTTAGGGGAGGCAGGACAGCAGGCCATACCAGACACTGACAGAAACATGCTATACCTGTGTATCAGACACACACACACCCACACACACACGCACACACACACACATGCACGCACACCCCTCAACCACATGCTAGTAGTGTTCATACTGCACAAAGTGACCTAGCTATTATCAAATCAACACCCATTCAGCGTCTAGGGAATTCCAGAGTTCTTCTCCAAGCCTGGAACGAACATGAGCACCTCTAGCTGTAATTCTCCTGCATCTGGTAAGTTACTTTAGTTGTTTAATAATCTTGCAGTACCATAAATGGGGTTCTTGTTATATGACTGTCTTAACTCAGATGTAAACTCTAGTCCTTCACCTTGATCTCCTGCAAATATGAAAATCCCAATATTTTTTTCAAGAGAAATCTGTGTTCATAGAGATAACTGAGTTGAGATCCTAAGGGACTAGCGGTTGAGTCAGGTTTACAAAATTCAAAGAAAAATTCTATAAAATAGTAAGTACTCCAGGTCTTAAGCATCCCCCTGTCTCCACCCCACTAGGGATGCTTTTGCCTTGGCCCATCACAGCAGGCCGAGCCCAGCTTTACACGATCTCACTGTTCCTCTACCTTCCCCTTCCACACATGTGGGCTTCACCTCAGCCCACCCAAATAACCCCTGCGAAACCTGAATCCTCACTCTAATTAGCAGATCAAGTCATCTCTCCCTCCCTCTGCTATACAACTTAATTCCTTATTCCTTCATTCCTTTGTATGTTCTCATTAAAATATCAATGAAACAAAAGAGTCTTGCATTTTCTAACCAGGTCCACTCTCTTTAGAAAGCAGCTATATGTTTAAGAAATGTATGGGTTAGCATTCGTTTAGAGAATATAGCATGTTATCAACTTTCCACCAGAAACTTTCCTTTCATTGGCTCAGTGACTCTCAGACATCCCTGGAGAGTTACTTTTGTATCATTTCTATTGCAGAAGTGACAAACTGAGAAAAAGAGAAACTAGGTATTTTTCATAAGGTCGTGCAGGTAATAG